AAGTTATTCAAAATTACAAGTAATTTACAAGCAATTTATCTAATCTTACTTGGAACATATGATACATTAGTTAGTCCAAATTTCAGAATTATTGCAAGCCACCTATAGGACTATCAATATAGTTAACTGATTAATTGTCAAGTGCATCATTTGTTAAAGCAATCTGATACCCACTATTATCATATTATCTAATCTATTTTAGTAATTTATACTAAGGCTAAGGACAAGTACTTGCAAGCTGAAGCTGCTACCACTACTAATCAGCCCTTATAAAATTCATTCAAGCACCAGTACTTTTCTTTTCAATACTCTTTAGTTGGTCTTCTTAGACTACCAATTTAGATGACCTGAAAGAAATACCAGTCTTGTGGTATCTGCTAGTTTTTTTCTCTGATCAATATTTAAACTGATGACCTGGTTAGTGAAACAACTTGTCAGATACTCTTGTTATGTTCAGTTAACCAACCACAAATAAAATCTATTCCAGTAGCCACTGTCAAAAATTTGTATTACCTTTTTACTCAGATCTTGCCAAGTGGATATCTATCTTTTTGATTCTTTAGATTAATATAATCCTGATGACTTTTCTTGTATTTGTACCATCCAATATCAGCTTGTATACCTTCATATAACTTATATATTGCATGAATATTCTATAATCTCCCAATCTTGTTGGTGTCACCAAAGTTACAGAAATCCTATTCCAGCTAATTGTTAAAAGACAGTAATTATCATATAAGCAGAATATTTGAAATTTCATTATTAGTAGATTTCAAATCCCCAACCTGCCAACATACAGCTTGGAATGTAAAAACTTAACCACTTCACTAAGTTGTCACAACTTTGTTATTTAAAAATTTGACCAACATGAAAAAGAAAAAAAACAAAAAAAAACAAGTACAAGATAGTAATAATATTGAAAAGAACAACAACATAAAGAAAAAAAAGAAACTGGTTGTTAATACTTTTCACATTCAATCTAAATGAATGTAATAATATTAAATATACTAAACTTGATAATTTGTTACAAAATTAAAAAAAATACAATAAAACATTTTTTATTAATATTTTGATGATAATGTGACCAATCATAATGTTTGATTTAATTTCATGTGATCAACCAATCGGAAGAAAGTTAGCCTATAGGATGATACTGGGTAGTTTGAATATTTGCGAATTCTATGAATATTCACGAATTCTCTAAGAATATCTGCTAATTCCCTGAATATCCGCAAATTTTCTATGAATACCTGCGAATTCACTGAATATCCGTGAATTCTCTATGTAAAATGTGTATATTTATTCATTATTATTCGCGAATGACTAAAATCCGTGAATATTTATTAAATAGCTGTGATGGATATTCAAAGGATCCCAACTCTATCTACGTCTATGTCAAATGTGACGTATTGCCGTATTATTTTCCATGAGGTAGCTACCCTCTATATGAGAAATGTCTGCACCTCTAATTACAATTGAAATATTGTTTAATAAGAGGATGACTGAAATAACTGTCTGTTGTTCGATATCAGACTTTCTTAACAGTGAAATGGCAGGTATTTAATATAATATTTTTCTTTATTGATGATAATTTGAATATTAAATAAATAATCTAAAGGGATATCCGGGATTTTTTACTCTAAAAATAGCAAATAAAAGGCTAAATGTAGTAAATAGGGTTCCCATCCAAATCTATAAAATTAAGGACCATATACAAAGCATTAAACCAGATTCGAAAAAGATGATTTAAAAACAGGTATTAGATGTACTTACGTATATTCCCAATCGTTGTTTGTTCTTATCTTCAATCTTTGGTATGTTTTGAATTAATGCTATTACTGAAAATGAGCAAACTCCATCTACGTAAATTACAAAATTGTTAACTAAAGCCTCTTATTCGTAACAGATTTACAAAAATGAGGCTAACATACACATTATAGCTATAAGCTGACTTTCAATACCAAATTGGCTGGAGAAGCCATGTGCGATGTAACTAACTTGCGAGTTTTGATAATACACATATGGAGGGCCACGAATGTGGTTCCACATGTGCCCGGAAATCATCATAAGTATTATTACCTGCAAAAAACATATTAAATATTCGTATTTGAGATTAAAAACATTCATATAAGAACATCTACGTAACTATGGTGTAGTCGATGATCATATTCATATAATATTGAGATATATATTAAAAAAATTTCAAATCGCTTAGACTTTCATGCAAGTGGCATTTAAAACAATAACCACGCTACTCTATTAAATTATCAGTTAGCTTTTTTTGAAACAAAAAAAAAAAGTATAGAAAGTTTTAGCAATTTGAACAATTGAATATGACACATGATTTTTAGACTATTAGCACCATAGGAAAATTCATAAGAAAATAGAAAACCATTATGTATTAATGGTTCGAAGGACTATATTTTAATTAGCGATTATTGCCACGTACACATTACGTGCTTATGGACACAACGATGAGCGGTATTGTTATAATACCAGAAGGTTGACCCTAATTCTGGTCAATGTGTGTTATAAATCATGTGAATGTTGCTTCCATTGCTTGTTCTCTGATCAATGATCAACCAATCAAAAATTAAGAAATGTTTACAGTGTACTACCAAATCTTACCATATAAACCATTCTGGGTCTGTTACAGTACTCAATAGTAAAATAAATTATCGGTAAAAAAATCGCGTGGAATAATAACTATCGTGAGGACGGTTTATATGGTAAAACATGGTATTGCACCGTCTGCTATGTCCTTCGTACAATACTTGCAACATAAAATTTTTCGCACATTGTTTTGGAACTTATTTGCGAAAAATCTTAGACACTTGCCAATGATATCGCAGCCCAGGTGTTCTTGTTTCGTAGAACTGTTTCTACAAGAGGATACATCAGCTTTATAAAAGCAAGCGCCCCAAGTATTAAAAATACTGTCACAAATATAGCAAAATAATCCAGAGGTCGGTTGACAGGTACTTGAGTACCCAAAATGGCCGATAGATAAGACGCGAATGCTTCAGCAGAAAAACCACTAGAAAAAACCATTTTACAAAAGAAATATTTAGTAATTTTAATATTAAAGATAAATTATAAAAAAAAAAACACACTTACTGTCTGTTGAATTCGTATTTGTAAGGTTCAGAAACGTCTTTAGCATATGGACCAGTGGTTGGTGAAAAATAGAACAAAGTAGGTGCATTATTTAAACCGAGCTAACAGGTAATATAACAAACAAAATGGTGGATTTTTAAAAAAGTAAAATTGTATAATAATATGTGCAAGGAATTGAAAATTAAATTACTTTGGCATAAACCTCCCGACCATTTTTAAAATCTAAAACACCAAAATATAAGCGGGAAGGTTCGTCCCCAGATTCTAACCAGCTCCTTGCGACTAATCGGAATTCGGGGTCAAATTCTCTGTTTACATTATTAAAATTAATTCGGTTTACAAGATTTTTCTCGTAGAATACGTGGAAAGAAACTTACTTGCATGGTATACAATTAATTTGTGGATCTAAGGCTGTTAGAAGTATAGCCATAGAGTAATTTCTAGGTTTAGCAACGAATTCATCGTATAAATTTGAATCAAGTTCAACTACACCCAAGTTTTGACTCGAAGCTTGGTTGAGTAGTGTAACCTTTGTTTCTAACGAAGGCTTTGCAGCATAACAAGATGATAATAAAAGTATAAAAGAGGATAGGATTATAAAGAAGAAATTTCTAACCTCCATGTGTTAAAAAAATCAAAAATAAAGCGTTGCGCTAATGCTAATGCTAATACTGTAGAAATATTTTATCTAACCAATAAAATATTGCCAGATATGGGGGATGACTAAAGCCATGTGCCCACGTTTTAATCGTTTTAATTAAACAAGATTTCGCATGATCAACCGCAGGGGGATTGTAGTATGTGGTAAAGTCATGTGGTACAAATGAGAAGTGTTAAGATAAAAAGAGGTAACGTGTTAAGTAAAGATGGTTAAAAAATATTTTTTGATTCTGAAAGCTGCAAAGACGTGTAGAATTTTTTATATAATCTGTAGGGTGATTTTTGACGTGTATTGCATAATTTATTTTTTTCGTTAAGTAGTTTAAAAATGAGATATTTATATTGTATGCATAATGGTCGTGTAATGCGTGGGATTATAGATGGAAGTCAGACGTATTCGTTTAGGATGTGGTTTTAGTGTTTACAGTGCGAAAGAGATGGCGAAATTTGAATCTGTGCCCGGTTTGTCGATCATCATGCAGAGTTTGTGTAACATCTACGAATAATACCGGTATAT